AGCTTGGAGCTTGGGACACGGCTCATTGGTAAGAGTGCCTGCTCTGCAAGCTTGGGGACCTAAGTTTGAATCCCCAGAGCTTTCATAAAAAGCCAGGTGTGACTGGGAGTGCCTGCTACATGGGTGGGGGGAGACAGGCATATACAACGAGCTCACTGGTCAGTCAGCGAGTTTCCAGTTCAGTGAAAGACCCTGTCTCAAGGTCATAAAGTCAAGACCGATAAAGACACCTCTATGTGTGCATGCATGGGCCCGCATACCTGCATTCGAGTGCATGCAAGGTACACAAAACCAAAGGAAACAATGGCAGTTAAAGGTGACATATACACACTGTTGTCCAACAGGGACATTTTTGATAGTGAAAAGGGCGGGCACTGTAATTGTACCAGAGTATCGGGTGTCACACAGGACTATCCCGGTGAAGCTAGCTGTGTGGTCACTCTTGCTATTCTGGTTTACTAAAAGAGAGTCTTAGAAATCACCAGCTCAACCCATTGATTGGGCACATGAATCTACGGAGTCCAACACAGGCTTTAAGTGGTATGGAGTCACATTGCCTGTTATCAGCAGAACAGGTTGCAGGTCACTCCAGTTTGACTCCAGAGTCAGGCTCACCAGCTGCTGTCTCCACAAACACATCTGAGAGAAGTTATAAGGTGGCTCAAATAACTATGGTTATTTGAGGACTTTATTTAACCAAGCATGGCAGTGAACTTCCAAGAAATTAAGAAATACATCCTAAGCCACATCTTAGCAAATGGAACTGCTGGAAAGGTAGGACTCCTTCAGGCCTGAGCTCTCCTGTGCTGAAACACAGGGTACAGAATTTAGTTTATTACGTTCTCTCTGTCTCCTCTCTCTCTCTCTCTCTCTCTCTCTCTCTCTCTCTCTCTCTCTCTCTCTCTCTCTCTCTCTCTCTCTCTCTCTCTCTCTCTCTGTGTGTGTGTGTGAGAGAGAGGGGGGGCACGTGTATGGCACTATGGGTGGCACACCATGGCTCACAAATACACTTTTGCTGAATGGGAATGTTCCAGAAACCTATCTCATTGTTGACAGTCCTAAAGAGCCCACGTGTCCCCCACCAGCCACAGAAACTCTCCACAGGTGTCCACCAGCACCAGAACGTGGCTGCTGAGTGGGCTGTCTCCCTCCAGTAAGAGGGGCGTGTGACACGCCCACTACTTCAGAGCTGAGCCTCCTCCTGCCTGCTCCCCCAGGGCTTCGTCCTAAGCTGCCTTTCCGATTCCACCTCCAGTCAGGAAGATGCTGGTTTTGTGTGTACTGGAGCCTGTTCCCTCAGGTTCCGGGAACCGATGGAGTCCATTCCTTCTCAAGGAATGTTCAGGAAGTCAGGTGGAGAGTTTCCAATTGGCCCTCGTAGAGGGATTCATACCACGGCCCTCAGAAAATGCTACAAATTAGGGCCTTTTCCTGTCTTTCTTGAGGAGCAGTTGTTAAGCTCCAGACTTCCTTCCCCTCACCCTGGGCTTGTGTGTGCCACGATGCTGGCTGTTCTTCTGCTTTCCCCATCTCTCCCACCTCATGTTTTCTCAGCAGAGCCCCGCCGCACGCACGCGCACGCTTCTCACATGTTCTGCTTGGCCCTGGCAATGGCAGGCCATCGGTATGCCCCGTTGTAAGATAAGGGTTGCGTACAACAGAACCTTGGTCAACCAAGTTTCTTTCCCCACCAATGAGTCAGTTCTGAACACAGCTTGTAAAAATGTGTTTACAGTGTCTCTCAGATCTCTGCCTCACACATGCCTTTACTTGCTAAAAGAATTACCCAGTTCTCTTCCACCACCAACCCCCATGTCCCAAACAAAGTGTGATCGCCATATTTTTTTAATCTCCAGCACACCCTGGGTCTCGTCAGGCACCCACATATGGACTGAGTTTCTTTTAAACAGGCTAGAGTTTCTCCTGTCTCCATTTCGTCTTTACAGATCTGACTAGGGCTAAAAGCACTCGCCACTTCCAAGCCAGGCTGCCAAGAAAAGGCACAGCAAAGGCACCCTGCCCCCCAGCCCCCTTAGGAAACACACACACACACACACACACACACACACACACACACACACACACACACACACACGAGGAATGCCGCTTTACAGAGTGAAGTTCAAGCGGACAGCCACAGACTGTGGTAACTCAGAAGCGGCGCCCCCTCCACTCCCGTGCTGGACTCCCCACAAAGCTGCTTGCCTCGTGGAACCCACCTTCCCACTTGCTTCCCCTACTGCCAGTCTCTTTGGGAGCAGATACCCAAAGGTTAGTGCCTCCATTGGCTCTCCCCGCCCACATTTCTTGATGATGGCTTTTAAAGCTCAAAAATCCTCAGCAGATCTCTAGATCACCCTTGCCCTCCTGCCCATTCTCGCTGCTCTCACCCCTGACTTGCTCTGCTCGTGTGGAGGGAGCATTTCCGCAAGAAGATGGTAGTCTCTCCGAGTGTCGCAGTACGATTATGCCTGACTAGTTTGACTGTAACTCAGATCTTTTTGAAACAAAACAAAGAGACTGTGAGAGAGAGAAAAAAATCTTGCCAGACGAAATCATGCTGGACCTCAACTCCCTCGACGCTCAGGGGGCTGCTTGCTGCTCACTGACAGCGCAGAACGTGTAGGATGGGGAGGTACTGGGACCTGAGGACCACTAGGGAAGCTGGAAGCCATATTTTGTCACCTGAGTAGGTAGCATCAGGTAGGAAAAATTCAAGCAAGTCCTGCTAGTTGGCGGCTCCCTCGGGGGGGGAGTAAATCCCATCGAGTACCTGGTCACCCACCACTTCTGGGCTCAGAGCAAAAGCCCTGTGCTCACTCAAGTGCCCCAGGAGGCAGACTGTTTTCCATCACCGCTGTGTGTCAATGATTAGGGACCCACAGCATCCACAGTCATGTGGTAATGAGCATCGCCATAGACCTTAACCACTGTCTACTTCTAATCTGTGTGCTGCAGCTTGCTATATGCGGTATGTACAGTTCTTACAGTGAAATGGACAGAGTCTAGACTTCCTCATCTCAGTCACCATATGCGCACGTTCAGCCAGGATCTAGTGCATGCAGGGTTGTGCCACTGTCACCACCATCCATCTCTTTTTCAGCTTCCAAATGGAAACTCTGTGCCCATTTGTACTTTTCAACTCCCCTGACTGAGGTACCCTCCTATTTCTCATATCTATGGATTTGACCACTCTAGGAACATCATCCAGGTGGGATTGTAGTGTGACCATCCTTTGGGATCTGCCTCATTGCACTCAGCATACTGGCATTTCTAATTTTATATGTCTTGAGTTCTTTTTCTTAATTAAAAAAAGTCTTACCCACACGTGCTATTTGAAAACTGGTAGTGGGCTCCATTTGGCCCAAGGACATAGTTTGCCAACCTACTCCTGTTCTAAAGGTGTTCATAGGTGCAAATCTGATCACCTGCCCTTTGATAAATAAGGCAAAGAGACCAGCATAGTCATCTACTGGTGTGGTGATGGTGGTGCACACCATTAATCCCAGCTCTCGGGAGGCAGAAGCAAGTGGATCTCTATGAGTCTGAGGTCAGCCTGATCTAGAAATTGAGCTCCAGGATCGCCAGGGCCACACAGAGAAAATGAGAGAGAGAGAGAGAGAGAGAGAGAGAGAGAGAGAGAGAGAGAGAGAGTGTGTGTGTGTGTGTGTGTTCTACTACAATACAACATAGCCACACTGTGGCCATAAGCAAACCAGAAACAGGACATAAATGCCTCACATTTGTTCATGAACATTGCTCCACGCTGGGTGACACAGCTAGAAGTTGCCGTTATCTCTGGCAAACCTGCAGAAGAGGTCTCTCAATCTTCCAGCCTAGAGACGGGAGATTGGAGATGCCGGGAGCACTGCTGAGTGACAGGAAAAATGTCAAGTAAGCACTTCTCCTCTATCATTCAAGTCACATGAGCCAGGACCAACGTGACTAGTCGGCTTCATATACATTATTTCTGTATACTCTGACTCTCCAGATGCTTAAAAGATGCATTTTAAAGGACACTGAAGGCTGTTCTGCTCCTGTGAAGTAGCCAAGGGTATCTTGAGTTTGCAGCCCCAGGCTTTCAGCAAACACCCTGCCATATTCTATCTTTTCTTTTCCCCCCGAGAAGTCAGAACTCACACACTTGGGTTTTTCAGTATGTTGGCAGTGAAATCAGGGATGGGATAGTGGACCCAAAGGGATCTCACCCAGCTGGCTCAGCAGTGTGGACCAGGCTGCTGGCTGATGCTGGGCTTCAGCAGCCTGGATCCTGTACCAGCAGATGGTATACATTTCAAGGGCAAGCAGAGATTTTTTTTAACAACTGTCTTTCAAAAGCAGAAGATAGAGAGGCTGTGTGTCTTTTACTGGGTCCTCTTGGTGAACTCATCACTTCCTTTTCACAGCCCCTACCACCCCCCCAGGAACCTGGAAGTCGAATTTCTTAACAGCCTTCTCTGTTGGACAATGCACAATGTTCTCGTGAAATAGAATATGGCTCCAATGCTTGAGGTAGCTCATGCTGTCCCTGCAGGAGCTCATGTAAAATGAAAACAATGGCCCAGTTTTTGATCATTAAAGGACAACATTTTGTGGGTGGTGGTGGGGTTAAAGTTGTCTGACAAGGGAACCCTGTCTTCAGTGAGTCTGATTCATTGTAATTTCCAGATTAGATACCCTGTCTGATTAATAAACCAGATCCATGGGGATGAATAACAGTGACAGTAACTTTTATAACAAACAGGAGACACGGGGGAAACACAGCTCTGGTTGATCATTCAGTAGCCAGAACACAGTTCTGAAAGGGCCCCCTCTGTGGAACTAGGAACCCTGAGGTGAAGTGGTGTTCTAGGAGCTCATAAAGAGAGAGTGACCCTCAGAGGTCCATGGTCCAGAAGAGAGATGACACCCACTGATCAAGACCTGTAACCCAAGGCCAATTTAATGACAACTGATAAGAAAAGTGCTAGAAGGCTGGGGGAGGGGGGCTTTTGGCAGCTGGGGTGGGGGCAAGTGAAGGGGAAAGAGAACCCAGAGCTTCCAGTTGTCTTCATGGTCCGGCAGTAGCTGCACTCTGATGCCCACTGGTTTCTAGATGCAGCTGTTTCTGCTGGTCAAGCTCCTTAGTTTCCCCTGGCATCATCGAGGCCCCAGCTCAGGCACTTGACCCAGGCTCTCAGCGGATGCCCAGGTCCTGCAGATGAAAAGCATCATCTCACATCCCTGAGCTTCTAGAGAAGACACTAGACCAGAACTGTATTCTGTCTGCAGAAATGCCACCTGTCTCAGGAGGACCTGTGTGGGCACCAGGAGGCAATTCCGCTAGCCTGATCTCAAACCCTGGGACTCCAAAGGCCAGGCATCGGCTGTCTGATTTCTATCCACACTCAAGTTGTGGTGAGTTAAAGGTGTCCTATATAAGTAGAATGGATCATGACTGGGCACAGCTGTCCTGGTGATGAGAACCACCTGCAGTGGCACCAGGTGACCCAAACCTTCAGTATGTGAGGGCCCCAGGCCCTCTGGTAGGAGAGAACTGACTCTCACAAATTGCCCTTTGACCTCCATACATGCACCATGACACACACACACACACACACAGTTCTAGTTTGCTTCTGTTGTTGTGGAGGGGGAGGGAGATTCTGGCTAAGAGCAAGTTCCAGGTCATAGTCCATCACTGAGGGAAATTAGGGCGGGGACTCAAGCAAGAACTTGAAGCAGAAACCACGGAAGAACATTGTTTTCTATTTAATGCTCAACTAGTTTTCTTAAACTTGCCAGGAGCACCTGACTAGGGAATGGTGCCTCCCATGGCAGGCTAAGCCCTCCTGCATCAATTAACAAGACAGTCTCCCACAGACACACCCATGGGTCAACCTGATCTGACAATACCTTCAATTTAGACTCCCATCTCAGGTGACCCTAGACGGTGTCAAGTTAGTAGTTAAAACTAATTAGGACACAAGTAAGTGAAAATAACCAAAGTTCTGTGTAAATTATAGTCCAAACTAAATGTCAGACCAAGTAAATAACTTACAGAAATATACAATAAAAGATGAAGATGTCTTCCAAATAAATGGGAATTCTAAAATAAGAAAACAAGTCCTCTTTTAAAACATGACAAGAAAACAGAGCAGCTACTGTTGAGATAGAAATCAACTTTTCTGGCATATATAAAGAATAATCAATGTCTCTAACATCAAATGGCTTCACAGTGGAGCAACTTTCAGATGTGTTCTACCTGTGAGAAAGTCTAAAAACATGAGAGATTCACTTTAGCCACTGGCAAAGACAAACACACCCGTGCACCTCGGTGGGACTGAAGTTCGGGCAACTTCTCTGAGAAAGAATTTTTTTTAATGTTTTGGAAATGTGGTTAGTTTTTGGCCCCAGCAGGTTGATGTCCAGAATTTGTCCTAGGGAAAGAAGAATGAATGCATACAAAAATTTGTTTTCTAAAGCACATTGACTTCCTTATGGCTTATAATAGTGAAAGACAGGAAACCGGCAGAATAGCCAGCCATGAAGTCACTAAAAATAAAGAGCCAAACAATACAACAGGACACAAACATGACAGTTCTGAAAAGTTTAACGACATGGAAAGATGTTCACAGTAAATTAAGTGAGGAAAAGCATATTGCAAAACGGGGCAATTTGGCGACTTTCTGTAAAAAAAAATTCCAACTGGTATTGACATAAAGAAGCATCTGGAATATGGACTCTAAGGTGTTAATGGAAGTTTTTTCCTGAATAGGTGGAATTGTATTCGAACACATGCATATACACTCACTCCCACACACAAGCGTGCACCCTCCCACACATCCCTTCTTCTATTTACTTATATTATCTGCATTTTCTGAAACAATCATGTGTTTTTTAAACAAAGGGAAAAGATGACTTTAATAATAAAAATGCATGCATCATTAAGACTGAAAATAACACAGTAAAGAAGAAACATGCTAAAAATAGCAAAAGTGGAAAATGCAGATGAAACAGAAAATTTTGTAACAGAACATTGCAAAAAAAAAAGATGAATATATTTCCAAAAACAAAGACATGGAAAACCAGAGTCACCAAGAGGGCTCAGAAGGTAAATGTGCTGGCTGTTTTGATCTCTGCAACCCTAAAGATAAAAAGAGAGAACCAAGTCCATTCCACAAAGTCATCCTTTAAACTACACACTCACACCTTGATATATTCCCCCAACACACACACACACACACACACACACACACACACACACACACACACTACACACAATAATAATAAACAAATTAAATAGCTGGAAATTGTTTAGCATGATAAGTAGTAAAACAACTACAAAATCAATAAATGAGAAGGTGTAATTTTCCAATTAACTAAAATAATCATGTTAAAAAATAACCAAGCTCCCTTTTTTCTAGCTATAAATAATTATTCTGCCTCAAATGTGAATATCTATAAATTCCTGTGGTTTGGTTTTTAAATATTTATTTTATTATTTTTAATTTTGTGGATGCATGTGTATCTCTGTGTGAGTGTTGGTATGTGAGTGCAGGTGCCCTTGGTGTCAGAGGCATTGGATCCCCTGAGGCTGGGGTTACAGACAGTTATGAGTTGTCCCACATGGGTGCTGGGAACTAAACCCAGGTCCTCTATAAGAGCAGTAAATGAGATTAACCACTGAGCCACCTCTCCAGCTTCATAGTAAAACTTTATTTTGAAAAATAATAAAACAGAAATGTATGTATATATGCCAACATACATAAACACATACAGGAAACACAAGGAGCTGAGAAACATGTGAAATGACATCACAAATATGAAAACCAAATATTTCAGAAAGTGAAAAAATTTTTTACAAATATTTGGCCCAGAAAAAGAAACCAAGATTATTCTAGAAGACTAAAAGTCACCAGCTAAATTCAGAGGCTGCAGATTGTTCCCTGATTTACACACTGACTATAAAAGAACATTTCTGATGCAACCTGAAAACTGGACATACACCATTCATCAAAGGATATGAAGGACTGACTTTGGGGAAGGCAATAATTGTATTGTGTCACATTAAAAAAGCAAGGGTCCTTATGTCTTACATAGGCTTGCTGAAGTGTTTACAGATGAGATGTGGTACTTAAATTAAAGAATCCAATAGTTTTCTTGTAGTCATCCAAAGCAGGTGATACATGTGTGTACAGGTTTGTTATGCAATTTTATTTTTGTATAGGTTTATAGTTTTTCTTAATAGGTTTGCTTTACCTTTTCATTTATTTTTAAATGTTTAATTTTTATTTGGGTGTATGTTTGTTTCTACTTGAGAGTATGCAGTATGCAGTGTGTGTAACGGTATGCACAGAGGCCAGAAGGTGTTAGACCCTGGAGCTGGTGTTAGATACAGTTGTGAGCTGCTCCATGTGGGTGCTGGGGACTCTGAGCACCTGGAAGACCAATGGATGCTGCTAACCACTGACTCCTCTCTCCAGTCCCGTGTTTATTGGTTTGTTTAGTGTGTGTGTGGGGGGGGTGGTGAATGCACATGCAGAGGTCAGAAACCCACATTGTGGAAAAGTCTGTTCTCTCCTTCTACCACGTGGGATAAAACTCAGGTAGTCAGGCTTGAATGACAAATGCCTTTACCCACTGAGCCATCTTCACACACACACACACACACCCTTTAAAATAACTGTCTGAAATCACAACATGACTCCAACATTGGGTTACTGAACATCTCTAGACTCGTTATCCCCATTTATAAATGAAGTGAATAGGCTTCAGAAACTCACATAAATCACACTCAGCAACACTCCAGCACATAGTAAACACACAGTAAACACTTGCCATCCAGTCGGTATTCATAAACTAGTTCAGAGAGTGCCTAGCTCAGGCTAGATAGAGCAACAGACAGAGGTTAGCTCTCTCCAAATACCCAAAATGGTCATCTCTGGAAAATGGCCACCACCACACAACCCCTGCACAGTGTGGCTCAGAGTCACCCAGAGGTCTTGGCAAATACAGTTTCCTTATAGATGGGTTCCACTTCTGGGTGGCTACACCATCCCTTTCAGTAACATCCGCCAATGAGTCTCAATCCTTACACCTGTATATCAGGCATAGTACCATCCATGCTTGATCTCTTCATGAATGCACACACAAAGCTCGGAGAAGTCCTTGAGTTAGCCTGCTCCTTCCGGGGATGTCAGCTGCCACCCCTCTGCCCCTCCCACACCCCTTTGCTCTCAGAAGAAGCCCCTCACTTGTTTCCCCCACCTTCACTTGGACCCCTCTTTCTCAGCATCACCAGGCACCTGTAGAGCCAAGCAGCTGCTCCTTTCAGGCCTTGACACCCCTGCTGAGCTGACCTCCTGACCTTAGACCCTAGGTACCAAAGCGTCCCCTGCCCCATCCTGAGGCCACTCCTGTCTGGATCCTCAGCCCTGGATTTGAACCAACTTTAAAAGATGCTTCAAACTGATTACTTGAGCTCCTCACCATGTCGCCCCCCCCCACACACAGGCTTTAAGGTCTCTCACTCAGCCACCCCTACCTCATTGCCACCCCCCACACACGGTGTGTCTAAACTCTTGCAATTCAAACAGGGACACACATTAACTCCTGCCCCCCTCACCTTGAAGGAAAGGGACAGAACACCATCTAAGGCCTTCTGCTGCTCTACCCCACTCTTAGAGGAAATGGTACCCCATAAACTACCAGGAAAACACTGAAGCCCCTCAAGCTGAGACACTGTGGACCATGCCAAACTCAGACAGATAGAGCGGGCTTCAGGCTCTGCCGACCAGTCTAAAGCCGCCTACTCATTCCCCACATTCTCTTGGGATTAGGGTGTATGTTCCCTTCTGATTTTAGAATATTCCAGATGCCTGAGTGCACTCACACTCTCTATAGAGAGCCCACTGCCCCATGCACACTGAGCTCCTCCTGGGATGCTGACTCAGATACTGGCCAAGGCAGCCCCAGGAGGGGAGTTAATCCCCCCTTCCTGTCCCCTGCATCACTGTACAGCCCATGTGGCAGTAATATGACACCCAAAGCCATACTAACTGTTTACATATGACTGAGAACAGAGCCTGCAGCCAGGGAGAGGCCCACAGTTCTCATACTTCCCACACAAACACCACAGGACAGTCCCCATGCACATGAGTGGAGCCTCCAACATCCTGGGCTGTGCCGTGTGGTAAGAGTGGCATCCACAAGCTCAGAAGAACGTGTTTGTTAGTCACAGGTGCTCCTTTTGCTGTGGGCCTCTGACCATGGTTCACCTCCTTTTAGCCAAACTAGTCACAGGGGCCAGGATACCTATAGTCATGAAGGAGCCCTGCCTTGGTACCCTGGAGAAGCAGGACTGAGAAGCAGCCCTGTTATGGATTATCTACAAGGCCCATGAAGGCTGAGTCAGCAAGCACACGGCCTAGGCACAAGGATGATGAGTGTAGGGTCTGGTGTAGCTCAGGATGGACAGAGTCTAGTAGCTTTGGGCTCACCTGGGTGCCTGTCTTAGAGTTTCTATTGCTGAAGAGTCCATCTCTTATAGCAGAAAACATTTAATTGAGCAGGCAGGGGTGGGGCTTGCTTACAGGTTCAGAGGTTTAGCTTGATATAGTCATGGCAGGAAGCATGGTGGCATCAGGCAGACATGGTGCTGGAGAAGAAGCCAAGAGTCCTACATCTAGATCACCAGGCAGCAGGGAGAGAGAGTAGGCCACTAGGCCAGGCTTGAGCTTCTGAAACCTCAGTGATACACCTCCTCCAACAAGGCCACATGTCCTAATCCTTTCAAATAATACCACTCCCTATGAGCCTATGGGGGCCTTTTTCATGCAAACTACCACAGTGACCCAGCACAGACCACTGAATCAGCATCTGCATTCTGCCATAATGGCCAGTTGACCTGCGAGCATGTTTCAGGGGTTGGAGAACCTGGAAGCTGCTGGTAAGTTCTTTGCATCAGTCGAATGATACCATGTGACTATCAACACTGGCCACGTTAGCAGTTAAGGAAAACCTGGGGCCAAACTAGATGGCTCAGTGGGTAAAGGTGCTTGCTGCTAAGACTGAGGACCTGAGTTTGATACCCAGGATCTACACTGTAGAATTGGAGAACCAACTCCTCCAAGTTGTCTTTTGAACTCCACACCTAAAAGGCTATATGACAACCTCTGTTAAACCCTCAGGTCCCACACAGTGGAAGGAAAGAACCAACTCCCATAAGTTGTCCTCTGACCTACACACACACACACACACACACACCACACATACTGTGGCACATATGTATACACACATGCACAAATAAAATAATTGTCATTTTAAAGTAATTTTATAAGCATCTTTAGTATGGAGAAACTGAATCTGTTCTCAAAGTCACTAAGAGAAGGATGCAGGGAGAGCAAGCTTGAGAATAGCCATGTCTGACTCCAACTTGGCTAAATATGAGCCATAGCCTGGCATGCAGGGTCCCATCTGTCCTCCATGACACCGAGTGCATCTGGAAGCACTGTAATTCATATCCAGGTAGTCACAGCCGCCATGTAGTGATGCTCAGGTCTCATTAAGACAAGACCTTGCTCCTCTTCCACTCCCCACTGAGAAACTAGAAATATCCCATGACAAAAGCAAACACACATACACATAGCTTTTGTACAGCTTTTTAAAACTGCTAAATTATAATATTAATTTGTGCTATTAGCGGTATAAGGATTTGGTGTGTGGGTGGGGGGGAATCTCGCTCTGTAGCCCATGCTAGCATCAAACTTGTAGACATCCTCCTGCTTCAGTCTCTTGAGTTCTGGGGTTGTAGGCATGAGTTTCCAACACTGGATGATGTCACAGAATTAAAGCTATGTTTCCTAAACACTTACCAGGACCTTTGTAGCTGAAGCAAAAGGGAAGTCTGAGCCAGCCCCTGCTCTGGTTCTTAGGTCAAGCTTTTAGGCTCTGCCTACAGCACCTGCTTCTCTTAACCTCCAGTCACCTTGCCTCTCATGAAAAACCCTCACAGGCTCCCAGACTAGCTGTGGAAAATGCAAGTCTCCCGTCTCCTCACACATTGCCCACTTGACTGCACTTGCTGTTGCTATGCTGCTGTGCTGCAAGGTAAGCTGCACGGTCCTAGTTCCATCAGACAGTTACCTCACAGGGTTGTCCCAGGAACCCCCCACTCCCTGCATAGGTGTGTTGTGTGCTAGGGTTTAGTGATCTGTGTCTCAAGGAGGGCTCTTGTGAGCATGGAAGAACTACACACTGAAGAAGCTCAACCTTGGATATAAATTGACTGGGTCTTAGGGGGCACTCATGATGAGGGAGGTTCTTGTGTATGTGCTTCTCTTATTGGTTGATGAATAAAACACTGTTGGCTAATAAGGCAGGAAGATAAGTGGGACTAGGAGACGAGGAGAATTCTGGGAGAGGTAGGACAGGGAGCCCGCCAGAGTCGCAATGATGCCAGAGGAGTAACACCATGCTCTGCATTACTGGTTAACCCACAGCCTCGTGGCAATACATAGATCGATAGAAATGGGTTAATAACTAAGACAGAGCTAGTCAATAAGAAACCCTAGTCATCGGCCAACAGTATTATAACTAGTATAAGTCTCTGTGTGTTTATTTGGGGGCTAAGGTGGTGGTGGAACCATGCAAACAGGCCAGAAAATTCATGCTAACACTCTTAGGACAGGGAAGGGAAAGGTAAGGACTGAGTAACAGGGCCTGGCATCTTACCAAATTTCCTGTCCTGAGAGAGGCTCAGAGGGCTTTACCCCCATGTTGCCAGTGACCCTGGAGCCAGGGTTAGTGCCAACCCCCGTTGTGTTTATGTAGGTATGTGCATTTATACATGGGTGTGCACATTCATGATGGTCAGAGGTCAATGTCAGTGATCTTCCTCTACTACTGTCCATCTTTATTTCTGAGACTGGGTCTCTCACTGAATCTTAAGTTTGACAGTTTGGTTAGACTGGCTTGGCCAGCAAACTCTGGGGATCTGGCTGTCTCTATCTCCTTGGTACAGATTACAGACACTCTGCCATGCTAACATGAGCATGGAGGATGAGGATCTGAACTCAGATGCCCACACTTGTGCAGGTGCTTTCTTGGTTCAACCATCTCCCAGACCCTTTCTTCACATTTTATTTATTTATTTATTTACTGGCCTTGATCCCACAGTCCTCCCGCCTCCACCTCCTGAGTGGCAGGTGTACACCACAGAGCCTGGCTTGTCTTTTCTTCTGGCCTTCTCTGTGCCTTCTTGGGGGCGCCTCAGTGTCTTCAAGGCCATGGCCATATCATGACCTCCTTTAGGCAGAAGGGAGTCCACCTGGGCTGAGACACAGGGCTACTTCTCAGAGTAACTTTGAAGAGTATGACATCCCAAGGAAGAAAAAACTTTCCTCAGAACATTTTTGAAGTGTCACTAGCTTGGACAAACTAATGGTGGGGTCAATTCACACAAAGGAATGCTGTCGTCCACAGAGTGGAATGAAGCGTGGTGACAACTACACCATGCACTTGAAATGCTCTGCTGAATGGGAGAAACCAGACGCAAGGGCCACATACCGCATAGCCCTCTGTGAACAAGATGCTGAGAACAGTCCATTTCACAGACGCTGAAAGTTGATGGTGACAGCAATGGCTGCACCCCTCCCCCGGGCTGAGAGAAGATGGGAGTGAGGGTAACTAATAATGTCAGGGTGGAGGAGTAGTTCTTTAGAGATGAGGAAAACAGTTCAGAATTCCCTATGGTTGTGACAAGGCATGCCACAGTGAGTGTGCCAAATGCCACTGAGATACAATTGAACATGAAAATTTTTCACTCTTTTGTTTTTTGGGCAGGAACTCACATAACCCAACCTGACTTTGAACTCACTGTATAGCCAAGAATGACCTTGAGTTCCTGTTCCTCCCTCCTCTTCCCCCTAAGAACTGGGATTAGAGGTAGCACCATCATGCCTGGTTTATGTGATGCTGGAGCTAGGACCCAGGGCTTTGTACCTGCCAGGCAAGCACTCCACTGACTGAGCTACACCCTGGGCACCTAGGTGGTCAATTTTATTCATTTTAACCTCAAATTCTAAAAAGCTAGGGTGGGTTCCTCAGAGTCCCCAGATTTAGACGAGGACATTTGTCCCCTTGGGCAGAAAGATGTCCTTACGTTTGCTCAGAAGACTCTCAAGGCTCAATAGTAAGCCAGGACTGCACTCTACCCCACTATAGGCCTAAAGAAAAGAAGAGGGGAGGGGGCAAGCAGGCAGGCAGGCCAGCTGGGGAGAGCATCCCCAGTTGGGATCTAGACTCATCCTCAGCTTGTGTGTCCTTGAGCAAAATATTAGGCATCCTCGGCCTCTATCGGAAGCAGGAGGGGTAATAGTAATGAGCCCCAAGTCCCTGGCAACAGGCTATAAGGAACGAATGGGACAGAGCTGTGGAAAACGTCCCAGTGTCATCTGTAATTACCTCTGACAGTAGTTTCGTCAGAGAGAGCACAGGAGAAGTCATCCTAACTGTTATAAAGAAAACCTACAAGAGGCAGAGCCCAACACTGTAGAGAAGCCCAAGAAGCCAGCTCTCAGCTTTCTGAGGGGAAGTGACAAGCCAGGCTCAGGGATTCTGAAGCAGTCATGTGTTTAGGAGGCAGCAGTGGGGCTGCTTCTGTGCCAAGCTCTCTCACAAGCCATGCATAAACGGGACGGCGTGGGCAAATGCCGGCCCTCAGGGAGTGCGCGATCCACCTCCATTTGGCAAATACTGAACAGTAGGTCATTCCATGACGATGAAATGAGACAGAGCCCCACAGTGGGCAGCTGGGAGCATTTATGATGTGAAGTAGCATTGACACATCTGAGCCAAGAGGGGGTCAGATGTCCCAGGCCACCTTCCCAGCTAGCCAAAACACTGCTCTAGAGAACGGCACTATCCCCTTGGGCTGTCATTTAAAATGCTAGATTCCACAGCCTCAATGAAAAACCAAGTGCCAGATTGCTGGTCAGCCCAAGGAAGAAGAGAGGTGCAGCCACAGAACAGGAGGCCTGGAAACAGAACAGAAAAACACCCATTCTAAGCCAGTTGGGCTCAAGGAGGCAGAATATCTAGGTCCTGAGGAAAGCCCGGGTACTCTACCAGTGAGTACATGGAGATGACAGCATCGGAAGCCTGTTTCCACACCCTCATTTCCAGGGTCCAGGTAAAGTCAATCCCAGGGGCTGCCTGGATTCAAGAGAGATCAGATCACCCAGAGCTGTGTTCAGTCAACAGCTCCTGCAGCCAAGAACCAGTCATTCTCACAGGCTCCTGTGGGCCCTAGGACTCCAGACAAGTGTGTAGGGAAGGCAGGCGAGGGCTCATCTAAACAGCGGCATCATGGACCAGGGTGGCAACCGACCCAGGGAGGAGGCAGGCAGGCAGCAGGAGGGCTAGAGACGGTGACTGGTAGGTAGCTGCTGAACAGACTTCAAGGACATAAAGGAAGGGGCAGAGAGGAAGAATTGGGGAGCAAAGGAAGCTGGGTCTGAACACTGAGCACAGCCATACTGTTAAACAGTCCAGACAGCCTGTGCCAGCCCAGGGCTATCCTGGCATTGTCCTCAGCCTCCCAAGCCTGCCCACAACCCATCAATACTGCTTTTGTGGCTCAGGTACAATCTCAATCCTTCCTCTGTAGGCCCTGTTGTGTCCAGAGGCCTGGCAGCATCTGGTGCCTCGGGGTGGAGTGAAAAACTGGGAGGCAGCTTCTCCTGCTGGCACCAGAAGCCACAAACAGCCAGCTTATCACTGCCCCTTTGTGTGGGGAACAATGGGCCCCAAAGAGCCCAGCCCCCAGAGAAAGGAAGTTGTAGGACAATGACCCCCCCCACCCACCCCACTTCCTAGTTGGCATGGAAATGAAGGGGTGGGAGAAAACCCAGTGTCCTGGACTCTGAGTCTGGTGACCATGATCCTACTTGCAAGGTGTCCACATCCTCTTAACTGGCAGCAACTTACCCTAGCCATATCTACCTGGGACCCCAGGCTGCCAATACATCAATACACTCCTGGTCTCCATGGAGCCCTGCTTGATGTGGATATCACCTCTGAGCTGGCATCTGTCACCCCTGGTGACTGCTATGAACTCTCTCTCTCCCGCCATGCTTCATTTCTCCCAGCTGCCCATCTGGGCCTCTCCACCATTGCACATCCAGTCAACTGGAATCGCCACAGCAAAACCCCACAGGACATGGTTTCAGCAGCAGACACTTACTGTCTCTGTTCTGAGGCTGGAAGTCTGAGACCAAGATATTCAGCAGGCTCAGTCTCTCCTTGACTTGCCAGTGACCATTCTCAGGCTGAGGGTGTCCTCCTGTGGCCTGGCACTGACAGCCTGCCTCACATCGTGTCTCTTCTTCTTGTCAAGGCACCAGTCCTGTTGGATGAAGACAGAACCCTCATCTAACTTTAATGACCCTTCCAAAAATTGAAGTTTACAAGCACAGGCCTATTTGGGACTGGGGCTCAAGTATACAGATTTGGAGGGATATAATTCAGTCCTAACTGTCCCCAACAGCATCGACAGAAGCCACTGTCCTTCCCTACTCTTATTAGCATGTTCTACAGGGTTTCCCACACTATAGCCCTCATGTCCACCCTAACCTTACCTAGACTTTTTCTTTTCTTTTTTTTGTGTATATGCATGTATATGTGCAGGCTCATGTGTGTGCATGTGCACACATGTGTGGAGGGTGAAAAAAATTTCAGATGTCATTCCTCAAGACAGTTCCCATATCTTGTTTGAGACAGGTCTGCCATTGGCCTAGAACTTTGTCAGGTAGGCTAGACTAACTGGCCAGTGAGCTTCAAGAATCTGCCTGTCCCCACCTCCTATTACATCATTATGGGCTTACGAGTGTACACCACGCCTGGCTCCTGTGAAGATTCTAGGGCTAGAGCTCAGGTCCTCACACTTGTAAGGTAAGCGCTCACCTGCTGAAGCATCTCCCCTAGCCAGTATGTTATTTTTCACAGACCTTACCGTAATACACCAATAATGCATGCTTACTTGTTTGCTGTCTTACATCCTTGACTGAAATGTGGGCTTAATAGGGGCAGAGATCTGCTGTTTCATATGGTACAGAACCACTCATCCCTAGAATAGGATCCTTAGTAGGTGCTCAGTAAACATGCGCAGAAGAAACAAAGGAATCCCTTCCTACTTGTCATGCTGTATTTTGGTCCCTTCCTAGATTTTAAGACTCTTCCAAACTCTTAAGTCCTGCCCACACTGTTCCCAAGATCTAGAACATGCTTCTAACCCTGCTTCATCAGAATAGATATGCCTTCTCTAGCATTCAGCTCCAAAGAATTCCCATGCAGTGGGCTAAGCACTGGACCACAGGCTATCAAACTCATTTTATTGTGTTGGGATTGCCTTGTATCTGTGATTGTATTGGTCAAACAAGACTGGGAACTCCTCAAGGACAAGAATGTTCCATCTTCTGCACCCAGCACAGAGTCTGACTCTAAACTCACCTAAGTCTCAACTAAACTTAGATTTCACAGCTAGTCTACTCCAAGCCTTCATCCTCTCATTCACTTATCCAAATTATAACAAAAGACCATTTGCAATAGTTTCTCAAGCCAGGGTCAGTGAACTTAAGGAATCTGTAAAGCTGGATGGAGACAAATCATATGTTTAATTTTACTAATCTACACTCCCACCATGAACACAGACTCTGTCTCAGTTCTATTTGTGTTACTGTAATAAAACACCCTGACAGAAGCCACATGAGGGGGCGGGTATTTGACTCACAGCTCCAGGTTAGAGGCCATCATTGTTGGGAAGTCGAGAGGCAGGGACTTGCAGCAACAAGTCACATCCACAGCCAAGGGCAGAGAGGGAGTGAATGTACACACACTAGTGCTCAGGCCACTTTCTCCTCGGAGACTGGCATTGCCCTGTCTAGTCTGGGTCTTGCCACATCCGTTAAGATAGTAAAGATAGTTCATCATGGACATACACACAGGGCAACTTAACTTAGACAATCCTTCTCTGAGCTCCTCTTCCCACATGAGTCAATGTCAACTTGACAAAGCTAACCATCACTGACACCAGAGCACAGTAGTACCAGTGGGACTCATGACTTCTCACTAATAGAAGTCACAGGACATTCATATCACTTTGTAATTGTAGAGGGTATAAAATATCCCGAACTTTCCTCCCTACACTAATATTAACACAGTTATTCAAAACTTGCTTTATGTAGTAACATAAATGCATATGTACATATCACATATTTTGATATTTTAGTAACCATTTCTGATATGTTTACCTTTGCTTTGTTTCCTTCCCAATCCTTGGTGTTATATTTTAGGCATTTAAAAGCAATATTCTGAGAAGGAGTCCAGGAACTTCACCTGACGTCCAGTGGATTCCCAACCTCAACTCTTTCCTAGGATCTGACTTTCAACCAGGAATCAGATCAGGCCTTTACTTTTAAGAGCTGAGCCCTGGTGGGTGACTCAGAATAAACACATGCATAAATGAATCAATAATACTATGACAGCTGGCTGCCATGAAGAAGATACAGTAATCCAGGCTGATAGGAGTGTCTGGGGGAGGGACTGCTTTCATGAGTGGGGAAAGCCCTGAGAGACAGGACAGAGACCCAAATGATAAGGAGTGAACTAAACAGAGAGTTGGGGAGTTGTGTTCCCAGGAGAGACGATGACACAGCAAAGTCCTGGAGTCAAGACTGGGCTGAGCAGTTGCTGTGCTTAGAGGGGACGTGGGACATAGAAACTGAAGTACCGGCCTGTGGAATGCAAATCCAGAGCATGAGCTGGGTTTCACCACTCGCACGGAGGGAAGCTACTAGAACATTTTAGGAAACTGAACAGTCTAGGTTTGAGTTCAAAAGCTGTGTTGGCTTCCAGGGACTTGTAGAAGCTGGGACAGCTGAGGGGGCCGCTCCAGAGAAGAAGCAACAGAGTCTTCAACCAGGATGAACGCAGGACAGGGGAATGCTGGACAGGGAAAGGTAGTTGGTTGGGAACGTTTGAAAATGGAGCAGACAGAACCTGCTAGCCTGATGGGGGTGAGCAGGAGGAGACAGACTAACGACGGATCAGGGTGGCCTGAATAACATGATGGGTAGCTGGTGCCTGTGAAGTGATGGACAGGTCAAGAAGGAACTCTGTTCCTGAGGGCACAGGATCAAGAGCCCGACTTCTGTTGCCTGACACTAAGTCCCAAGGCCCTGCCCAACCCAGACCTCTGCCTGCTCTGCTCCCTAAGGCAAGCCTGTCTGTCGTCTGAGCTCCATCTGAGTAACCAGTGACTCATTCTCCCTTCTGTCTGCCTCAGCCCCGTCACGTCAGCCCACCCTTCAACTCCAGCACACGCCCTTCTCCTCCATGTTGGCCTCCTGTGTTTCACACCTACCCTGCAGGCCACCTGTCTGGCACTCTTTCTTCTTCCAGGTGGTACTGGTCCTTCTGGGGCCAAATAGCGGATGCTCTTCAGTGGACGTGTGTATTGGTGACATTTTATTGTCACTATGACAAATACCTGACATAGGAAACTTTAGGAAGGGGGGTGGGTATTTTAGCTCACAGTTCTGGGGCACAGTTTGTCATGGTAGGGGGAGCAAGAGGCAGCTCACATCATGCCTTCGATCAGGAAGTGGAGAGACAAACGGAGCCGCTCCCCCCCCCCCCCCCCCGTGCTTTTTCTATTTTATTCAGCTCAGGAATCCAGCCCATGGGATAATATTGCTCGGCTTCAGGTTGAGTTTCCTTACCTCAGACTAGGTAACCTCTCACAGACATGCCAGACGCTTGCCTCCTAGTTGACTTTAGACCTTGTCAGGTTGATGACCTAGACAAACTATCATATATTATGCACTCCTGGCCCAGCTGCCCACTCCAGGACTAGCCTGCATTCATCCTAGACACCACTCACTGTCTCTCCATGTGTCCCTGGGACTACCAACAGCAGTACCTATTGGTTTCTGAAATCTTTTATTTAGTAGCTCCCGACTTCGGTGGTTAATTTTTAAATGGTAGTTATTTTGAAATGTGACATTTAAAAGCATCTGTGGAAGAGTTTGACATGAATGAGGCCATGGGCCCCATTCCTAGCACTCCTCCAATTTATTAGTAAGACCTGAAATTCTGCTAAGGACATTCTGGATCCAAACACAAAGCCAGAGTTCAGTTTGGTTATTGCTTCTTCACTAACCTTCAAGTCACAGACAAAACCAAAGAGAGGTGTCCTGTGAAAGCCATACCACTTCATGCACCTTCCAGATAGGGAGGTGAGTGTTTGTGGGTCCCCAGGTCCCCAGACTTCGGTGCCGGCTTCTCTTCTCACCACTCCGCACGCATTCCATTGGTTCTCCCTGCATGGCAGTCTTTAATCACAAGTGCATCTCGTTTTCCATAAACACTACAGCGTGCTTTTCGTTCTTAGCATGAGTGTTTTCAATTGCCTGCCAGAGCTGGCTGTGTGCACAGACCCAGCATAGAGGAGGAGCTGCTTCCCTGGATTCAAGAGAAGAATGTCATGGGGGCTATAGCCTGAGGACCTGGACTTGCCTTGAGTGACAGGCTGGCAGAGAAGAGGACTCATCATTGTAGTAAGTTACTTTTCTGTTGCTGTGATAAAGCACCATGACAAGGAAAACTCAAGTAAGAAAGAGTTTAATTTGGTTTTTGATTCCAAAGAGATAAGAAGAGTCCATTGTAAAGGGAAACAGAGCCAAAATGACAGTCATGGCAACAGGAGAAGGCAGCTGAGAGCTCACCTCTTCCAAAGCAGCACAAAGCACAGAGAGAGTACTGGAAAAGGGTGAGGCTATATAATAGCTCAAAGCCCACCCCCAGTGGCATGCTTCTGGCTCTGCTGCACTTCCTAGCCCTCCCCAAACAACATCACCAACAGGTGGGGGGTGCAAGTGTTCACATACCCAAGCTCCTGGGGCTTATCTCTTGTTCAAACCACATCACAGATTCAGAACTTCTTACACCCTGACCATAGGGGCAGGGATGGGAGTGGGGCAGCTGCAGATACTCAACCCTCACCCTCCTCTTTAGATGGGAATGGAGATGCCACCTGCCTCCAGAAGCCACAGAGACAGAGACACTGCCAGCTTCCCTGAAGGGTAAGGGCATCAGGGAGAGCCTGGGCATAAGGCCTGATGTCAGGGATGTGACAAATGAAAGCCTCTGACCTAGCACCCTGGTTCCAGCGGAGCGCTCTGGAATAGGAACTCATCCACACTGCAGAGGAAGATGGCATAGGACTGGATCCTACCTACGCCCTGGGGCAATGATTGATTTGGGCAAATCCATTACACCCCTCTGAGCCTCAGTACTGCCACTTGTAAAGCAGGGACAATGTTTTCAGGGCTGGTACTAAGTGATTCTGAGGTTAGGAGAACCATGGCCAGCACATAGCATTTGCTCTATAATGACGTCTGTTGACATTGTGGAGCAAGACCCACACAGTAACTAGTGCAACCCTCAGTGGCCACAACAAAGTAGAGGAAGCAGCTAGCTCTCCATGGATGGCTCACACTGCTATAAACACAACAGGCCTAGAAGGAGTTCCAGATAGCTGCTTTGGCTCTGTTTTTGTTTTTTTACAACTCACCTCTCATATCAATTCATTGCAGCTATGAACTAACCTGCCAGCCTCCAGGCCTGCAATGCTCCTACTAAACAGTCCAGCCTGGAGGGAGTCTTGAATGCTGGGTGGGGATTGGGGGCGGGTGATTGATGGATGTGAAGGGAACCAAGGAAGATTTCACAAGCCAGATAGATTTTTGCAGTCTATTGATTTTGGAAGGCTGCTTGCACAAGTCATCTAAGGGATCTTCCAGGAGGTCAGGCCACAGTGCGGCGCCTGGAAAAATGAAGCAGAGCACTTGTTAATTCCTTCTGTGGCTCTGGGACACAGGGTTGTGCCAGGCCCTCCTCATCGACTGCAGGGCTCATTCCACACCTCGGTTCCTCTGGGGAACCCAAGCAGGGCAGCAGTCCTATGCTTCTGTTTCACAAATAGTAAACGCATGGACAGACCAAGAAGACTCGTGTTAAAATGGCACCTGGCTCCCTTCTTCCTACCTGAATTTCCTTTCTGCTTAAATGTGTGTTTCTTAGTATTTATATGGTGGCTTGTACAATGAACCCGATACCATCCTTTATTATTTTATTTTTTTAATGACAGAGTCTCACTCTGTAGTCCAGACTGCCGGACCAACGTAGAATTCACTACACTCACGTCAGTTTGGAAGAAGCATCTTTGCCTTTGGCAGTGAGTCCCCCAGATGTAGGGTTGAACCTCAACTTGATCGACTCACTAATCCCAAGTAGCCAAACCTTCCCAACTTGGTGCCCCCATATGCAAATGATACCCACTTAATAGGATTGCTGCAAGCCTAAAAATTTTGAAATAAAGAGAAGGGAACACTACCTCTGCGACCGTGTTATAAGGCTCACTTCTCACCTGAAAGAGAAAACTGGCAAATGATTCTCTTGCCATGTACTTTTATATGGCCCATGAGTTAGGGATGGCTTTGATACTTGCAAATGGCTCAAAAACTCAATAGTATTTTGTTGTGGAATATTCCCTTACACTGTGTGAAGATGTGTCACTGTGACTGGTTTAATAAAGAGCACAGGGCCAATAGCTAGGCAGGAGGCATAGACAGAATTTCTGGACAGAGAGAGCACTGGGATGAAGAAAGTCAGAGTCACTAGCAAGACAGAGAGGAAACAAGATGGGGGGTACGGTGTAAAGGTAACTGAGCCAAATAAAAGAACGAGATTAAAAAGTATGGGTTACACAGAGACAGCTGACCTGAGCTTGTGGGAGCTCACCGACTCTGGACCATATCCAGCATTCAAGACTCCTTCCAGGCTGGACTGTTTAGTAGGAGCATTGCAGGCCTGGAGGCTAGCAGGCTAGTTCATAGCTGCAATGAATTGATATGAGAGGTGAGTTGTAAGAAATAAAAACAGAGCCAAAGCTGTGCATGGGCCCTCCACATGTGGGTGACAGTTGTGTAGCTTAGTCCGTTTGTGGGGGCTCCTAGCAGTGGGATCAGGACCTGGTGCTTGAGCTGTCTTTTGGGAACCGAATCCCCATGCTGGGATGCCTCGCCCAACCTTGATGTGAGGAGAAGAACTTGGTTCTGACCCAACTTGATGTGCTATACTTCGTTGACTCCCATGGGAGGCCTGCCCCTTTCTTAATAGAGATGGAGGAGGAGTAGATGAGGGAGGGATAGGAGAGGGGAGGGAGTGGGAAGAGAGAAGGTAGGGGAAACTGGTAGGTATGTAAAATAAATAAAAAAATTTTTAATAAGAAAAGACAAATATGGGTTAATTTAAGTTATAAGAACTAGTTAGGAACAAGCCTAAGCTAAGGCTGAGATTTCATAATTAATAATAAATATAATTATAATAATAAATATCCATGTTGTTTCTTGTGAACCGGTGGTCCAAGAAAAGCCCAACAATATATGCACTTGGATATCC